CAGATATTACGTTTAAGCAGCAGAACCAACATTTTACCTGCACAAATAGGGAGTGCGAATTGTTTGATCTGTTGTAGTGCTGCGTTTGCGACAAACAATACAACTTACCGCCTGCGGTCGAGTGAACCGTTTACCGCGCATCACGTGTTTTTGACCGTTGCGGCCTGCCAACACATGCACGGACGCACGTCATGCGGACTTACCCTGTTACAAGGTCGATCCTCCTCAGTGAATCAGAGGTCAGTATTGATCTCTCCTAATTGATTGGTTCGTTGACTGCCCAGCGTGACGACACTCCTTTTGGTAAGACTTGCGCCGGTTCTGTGCCTGCTTGTCTGCGTGTTGACGCACTGCTTGCTCACCGGCTCACGGACCGGCTACGTTTGCGTTTACCTACTGGAAATATACTTACTACTTAATTCACCACTTGCGTACTTACTGACTCATACGGGATACAACATTTGGCGTCGCGGAGATTGAACCCGCAAATGGCCAGTTGCCTACGTGTCCCCGTGCAATTGTGGGATGATCCCGCTGCAAAACCGTCTGCTGAAGCATGAAATTCTTGGAAAACTACATTCACAGACTATTTGGATTTACTTTGTGTATTTTCCCCGGCGGTGCAGCTAACCAAGAATGACAGAATCAAATTCCTACGGCACTATTTGGGCCAGGATGTTAGACAGCTGTTTGACGCACTCGATCTGAAAGTCAAATCAAGTCTGGGAGAGGTGTTTTGTGCATTAGACAAACACTGGGACATTCGTCCTAATATATTTGTTCCTAGATACAAGTTTTCTTTACTGGAGCAAGCTCCCGATGAAGACTTGTCTACGTTTATTTCCCGTTTATTGTGCACATCATGTTCTAGTGATTACGGTTCTGTACCAGCAGACAAATTCGTGGAAACATTACTAATACAACAATTAATTTCTGGAATGAATAATCGTAACATACGTGAGGAATTGATAACAATGGACTCCGCCCAAATGACTTGGGATCATGTATGTGAAACTGCAAGATCTAAATGGGATTTAAAACGGCAACTGGAAATTTTCCGTTCTGACTCTCATACTACTGTATCCCAGATAAACGCGTGCCACCGTGACCGGAATACTACAAATAATCGCACATGTTTTCGCTGTGGAAGTAAAAAACACAGACCGGATTATACAAACTGTCCGGCATTACCATCAATTTGCTTTTTCTGCAACAAATTGGGCCACTTTGCTCGTGTGTGTCGCTTGCACTCTGTACTATTCGGCCTTCATTGAAGCCGTCTAACTGCAGTACAAGTACTGTTGGACCTACACGCAGGTTTCAACCCGATTGCTTGAATGAGATTTCTCTTCAACCCGATGGAGTGGAGAAAATTGACAATAATTACATCATTTCATCCATACAAACCGGACGTTGTAACATTTCAGCGAAAAACCTTACGGAAGACGACTACTATTCAGCGCACACCCAAGAGCGCAATTCCAACGTTTCGTGCAGTTCCGTTTCCGGGGGAGGATCCGGTCGTTCCCACAGCAGTTAAGTTCCATACGTCCCTACTCGTTCGGTGCCAAACAACAAGCGGAAAAATGTCATCTCCAAACCGCTATGTTTAAATACGAATTTGGCTTCAGAAACGTCCCAGTCCTCAAATGACTACCCAATGACTTCCCGAGGTCTGCACACTTCGACTGATCACATTACACACGGGCGAATGCATAGTCGCGACATCAGGTCATGTGGGGAGATTCCGTTCATCGTGAATCAGCTTCTACGGCCACAGGCGCGTTACAGGTTTCTTCCGAAAAGGAGAGGTGATGTTGTGGCCTGCGGTCGAGTGACACGTTTACCGTTCATCATCACATAATTGACCGTTGCGGCCTGCCACCACACGCACGGACGCACGTCATGCGGACTTACCCTGTTACAAGGTCGATCCACCTCAGCGAATCAGAGGTCAGTATTGATCTCTCCTCATTGATTGGTTCGTTGACTGCCCAGCGTGATGACACTCGGTTTGGTAAGACTTGCGCCAGTTCTGTGCCTGCCTGTCTGCGTGTTGACGCACTGCTTGCTCACCGGCTTACGGACCGGCTACGTTTGCGTTTACATACTGGAAATATAATTACTACTTAATTCACTACTTGCGTACTTACTGACTCATACCGGATACAACATTTGGCGTCGCGGACATTGAACCCGCAAATGGCCAGTTGCTTACGTGCCCCCGTGCAATTCTGGGACGATCCTGCTGCAAAACCGTCTGCCGAAGCATGGAATTCTTGGAAAACTACATTCACAGACTATTTGGATTTACTTTGTGTATTTTCCCCGGCGGTGCAGCTAACCGAGAATGACAGAATCAAATTTCTACGGCACTATTTGGGCCAGGAAGGTAGACAGCTGTTTGACGCACTCGATCTGAAAGTCAAATCAAGTCTGGGAGAAGTGTTTTGTGCATTAGACAAACACTGGGACATTCGTCCTAATATATTTGTTTCTNTCGTTACGAACTATAAGAAATTGCATACGCTGCGTCCAAATCAGTTTGAACATCATAATTAAGCAACAGTCACATGTGTTCGATGCATGCCGTGCTTGCAGTGACGAAGAAACATCATCTACCCCACTAATCACTTTATTCTACGGTGTCAAGCATTATTCAAAAAGTGCAAACTCCCATTGGTACTATTCAACATCGATTTGGCTCTGGATCAATGCGAACGATTTTTTCGATCAATGATCGATGATATTGTACTCAGGGGCTCGGGTGTGCTGCGATTTGTTGTAGAATCCATACGTGAATCTCATGTTCGTTGTTGGTCCCACTCGTGCAATACCACTCACCGTTTCTGAATACATTTCATTGTTCAACATCACACATGTTTATCGATCGGATGGATAGTATTTTTTCATCCCTTTTTCTCCTACTTCTATGTTCTTATTTCTCTTCTATTATCATTTCAATTTGCGTGTCCTTGAGTAACGGGATGCAATGTTTAGTAGTTCCCATGTAACAATCCAGATTTAGAAAATATTTTATCCGAAGCAGGATGGAAATATATTATTTCGTATAGATGATACATGTTTTATGAGTGATTCTAAGTTGAAACTATTCTACATAGTTTGTTTATTTTCATTCAATTGGATTGGTCTTCTTCATATATCAATCTGAATATCGCGAGATCTCTGCATTGATGCGGAAATTTCCGATAACTGTAACTCTGTTTCTTACTACGGCTTTGTTATTTTGCAAGTGATGCACTAGCAATCCGCATCAAAACCGAGAATGTGTGCATGCAAATAGCACTCGTCTAAGAGAAGCAGCTTCGTCAGTTGGTATTTCCTCAGATCAGATGCGCCTGATTCGGTGCAATGTCATATTTCATCCCGTGGATGAGACTCGAAGTAGTAAGCGTTCGGAGGAACAGATGTGAAGAAAGTCAGGGTGCTGCACGAATTTGGTCAATATTCATACATACATGTATCATTGAATTAAGTGGAATGGAGCACGTGAGTATGAATTCTCAATAAGCATACAACATGAAGTGATAGGCATAGGCCTTTTGATTTCACAATCAGAATAGCCAAAGTGACGTGTAAAAGAATCAGGTTGGATGAATATCACGTGCTGGTTGTACATGTTGTGAATATAGAAACCAGTTACTTATTTCACGCAACCAGCGATGACCAATCGCGGGAGACAGTCGATTGTTGGAACGGATATAAACGAAATCAGATAGCCGTAGCTGCGTGTTAGGTGAATGCCAATATGAAAATAACCATTGTCTTCATTGCAATCCTTTGCGCTTGGCAAAGTGGACTGTCAGGTGAGAAAATTAAGAGGGAAGAAATGAGTGATCCGTTGTACCAGGGTACAACGGGTATCTGTGACCATATTTGTTTGACTTTGAAAAACGAAAATATCACAGAAAAATAAATGTATAGAGCGAACAATACCTACCGGTATTCGTGATGAAATCAGCAGTAAAATTAAAATCGAAATTGAAAGCGAAAGAATAAACAATCGTTCTTAATTACGGTTCACTTCACAGGTGCACAATCAAAGTTGACCGAGGAACAATGTGGAACATTCAACTTTAATGTTGATGCGATTGTCGACGGATGGACGGTTCCACCGAATAATAAAAAGTTTACGACGCAAGGAACGTGTGAATACACGATCACCGGGGTGCAAGATAAAAAATATCAGATAACATTCAGTAATTTTAAAGTAAGTACTTGAAACGATTCCTGCAGGTAAATAACAAATCAAGCAAGCTGAACCAATACGAATGAGTACGCCAGTGTTCCGCTTAGTGTATACGTGCATTACCAGCATTTATATCGAAACATAATTTACTCATTCCAATTGTACTAACAGCTCGGATCTACTGAAAAGCAATGCGGAGACACGTATTTACAAATCAGTGACGACGAGACTTTCACAGAAGAAAAGCCGGCCAAGTTGTGTGGTTCGGAGATTCCGACCGGTTTGCCACCATCGACAGGACACGTAATGCATGTGAAATTGTCGGTTGGCGCAACGGCACCGGGAGAGGTCACATTTACGGCTAATGTGAAGCAAGGTGGGTTCGACTTTAACATTGAGCACGTTGACATGAATCGATTATTTGGAAATCCGTTACATGTTCTTCAAGTTCTCGTCTGATCGGTGGAAAAAATTGATAAAAAGAAGACAGCGCGAACAAACAGTGATGAGAAAAAAACCCTTGAAAAGATACCCACAAAACAATAGACCGAATAAAATGCAATTCTCACCATCAGTTGAGCTGAAGTAATGATAATAATCATCTGTGGCAGTTTCACGATACACTATGTGATTCGTTAGAGGTGCGTTGCATTTTGCACGGCCAATCTCATCTCTTCTGCCCTGCCCGTTTTAAATCTATGCCATCATTTTACATACGAAAAGCCCTAATTTACTGATTATTCCACACCACGATTTTCCTACGGAATACAGCCCCTGACACACCAAGCCCGGTGGAGCAATGCGGTAGCACACAGCTTACAATGGCCAAGGTGGCCGAGGGATGGACAGTTCCACCACAAGGGAAACCATTTAACTCGAAAGCAACCTGTCAATACGTGCTGACCGGGGATGAGGGAAA